TTCGAGGCATTGCATGCAGTAGAATGCCGGCCGCGTGTTGAAAGATGCGCGCCGATTCTGATATCTTGTCTATCTGACAAAAGTGGAACATTGTCGGTCACGGTTAAGCAAATCTAATGTGACCGAAACGAAATCGATTCATCGCACGATCTACCATTTGACAACATAATAAAATGAACAACAAATCTAATTTAATCCGTTATTCGAATAACGCCCATCACTGGAATACGCTTCCGCGACGCCCCCTTATAGTGTCCTCGAAGACGTCCTCGCCATTTGGTCGTAGTTGTCGTGTTGCAATCGGTGCAAGGAAGATCGCGCATGCGCCGGGGCGATACCAGTCGAGTCATCGGGAGGACTCGTAGCGAATCGAACGAGAGCCCAGTTTGGCGCACTTGGAACCGAGTGGACGCGCCGCGACGAGACGGACGATTCGTCGCGTCCTTCCTCCTTTTCCTTTTCCAGAGATTTTACGATCTCTGCACGGCACAGTAAACGGCGTCGCGAGTACCGAACCGGGAGCCGATTCGCGTTTCATTTACCTAATTCGTACGCGCCGGTAATTAATAGCGTTGGCTCGTCTCGAGGACGAGAACGAGCGATTCTCTGGTAACGAAAACAATGACTAAATAAGCGGACCAGGTTTGAAAGGAACGAAAATAGAACGCGTCGTGACCCTGAGTTGCAAACTTGAAGCAGGAAAAAAAAAAGGAACGGAATACGGTCGAGCAGGAGTCGCGCGACTACTCGAGACCGGACGTGACGTCATCGCTCCGCGACTCGACTCGAGTCGAGACGAGTCGTGCTTCCGTTGCGAAGCTGAGCGCGTGAACCGATCGTTGCAATTGAATTAAACCTCCTCTTCCTCCTATTATAATATTACATACAAATGTCTTTGAATGAAGCGTAGAAAAATTGCCGCACAGAGAGGCCAGGAAGGCCTCCAGTTTGCGAGGGCGCGAAAGCAGCTAGGATGCGCGTAAACGCGCTAAAAAGGAACGGAATCGGTGACGATTGACCTTGCCCGGTGGCGTCATACGCCTTTTTGTATTCCACGTTCGATCGACCGATTTTGATTAACATAATTACAAGGTGGGCGGTTCGTGCTCGAGGGAGAAACAAGCGCCGCAGGAGACAACGACGAGATGCTGATACTGTTGTTCAGCCAGTTCGCTCTCCTCCCACGTATCGAAATTCCAGCGAGACCGTGTTGCTCTCGTCTTTGCTGTGTCAATCTTCCGCCTTTGTTGACTCGTCGTAAGCGCGAAACTACCATAAACGGTCAGGAAGAACAGTCATCATCGACGGATAGGAAAAATGACGCGCACGATCGCGTCTAGGGAAATCTTGTAAAGTGATCCAGAAGATCGCGGCGTTTCGAAGTTTCCGCGTGTACGGCGAACGGAACCAGCCGTTGCTCTACATGCGAGCGCCATCTATCTGCTATTTCGATCGATTCCCGCGGTCGATAAGACGATCGAACCGACACGCGGCGCACAGTGGGAATTTTGAATTTTGAAATTCGTAACATTAGGGTTTAAAATGAAATAAATTTTGCCCCATTGTGCGGCGCATACATCGCTTGGAATTATTACTTTTTTTTCTTAGGGAGATTTTTTATTTCCTTTTTTCTTTTTCATGTTCTTTCGCAAAGCACTACGACATAGAAATGTTAGGTAACTTACCTTGCGTCGCCAGCTCTGCGGCGCAAAAAGAAAACAAAAAATACACCATTAGATAGATGGCTAACGACGAGCCGTTAGTTAAATGAAATAATAGAGGAAATAAATATGTACGAGGATGACGGTTTTGTCGACGCGTTCGAATAACGAACACTGTCTCCCATTGTGCGATGATCCCGTAACGCGCGGTTAACTCGCCGCGATCGAACCGGGCTTTTTTGCCCGACGTCCGGCATCGGTCTAGTCTTTTTAAACGGGCGCCGGGTATCTCTCGTTCGCCCGCCACTCTACGTAATCGCGTTCCCGTTTCCGTGCCGTTGGACGGCGCCAAACGTCGCCTGCAACCAGACTAACTTACTTTACTTCCCTCCGACTCGCTTTCAATCGGAACGAGAATCGCGAGAAAAACGAGAGTGGTCGAGCATTCCTACGCGATGATTCCTCCTAGCCATGTTTTCCCTTTGCGCTAAGTTTCTCGGAAGCGAAACTTTCGATCGGTATCGTCTTCTACCGTTTGCTGTCGATACCAAAAACTTCGAACGGCTTGATATCAAAAATGATTTCGTCCTTCTTTCGGGGAATCGTACAGATAATCGCGGTTACGAAAGGGCGAACCAGGTGTATCGAGACCTTATTGATCATTCTTATGTACACTATGCTATCTCTTCATGGGAGTAGCGATGGATTATTCGAGCTTCGAACCCCTTTTCTAATTCTATTCGAATACTTGAGATCCTTCCAAGAATCCATCGCTACAAATGATCGCTATCGTAATTTATAAAGAATTCTACTCACCTGGAAATGTAGTATGATGGTCCATATCAAACCAAGCGTCAACTTTGGGTTACCATCGACGATATCCTCGGCACGGATATTGACGAGTTTGATTTTCTTGTAACGTAGAAAATCAAGGGCCATCTGTACATTTTGCAGCATGTGGAAACGCATCCGACCCCTTTCTCGCGGCTGGAATATGATCGAACAGTTAGAATTTGCTGGATCATCCGTCCGATTTAACCCTCGACTGGTAAGGTGCGTTAACGGGTTAATTTAATATCAAGTCGGGTAAAGAAAACGCATTTGGATGGATAAAACGTACGTTTCATCAATTCTTGTAATTGGGGTCAAGTTGCTTTCTACCCCGCCAGTTACGTGACCAGCATTTTCACCCTGACCAGCCAAGGATTAAGCTGAACAGTGCCAATTGTCTGCCATCTCGGACGAGTAACCAGAATAATGGAACAGTATGACGTTGAATACTTACGAGATGCTCGCCTGAGAGAACCTCCAGCAAAGAAATGAGGTTGTGCCCGTCCCGCAGGTCTTCGAACAAATCTCCGACATGTCTGCTGGCCTGTAACAACGTTCGCAGTCCATCAGAATCATTATTTAAACAAATTTGAATATTCGAACTTTCCCCGACAATTCTTAACTGAAAATAAAAACAAGCGATTAAATAAAACACTAAAGAAGACTGAAAGGAAAGTGGAAGTTCGAATTTGAAACGAAACAATTATTTGAAACGACAGGACACCGAAACAGGCAACGAATATATTCTACACGTACGTGCAAGCACACAGACAAAACACGGGACCGGGAGGAAAGGATGAGGCTAGAGAACAGATAATCGCGTGCCTCGCGAAAATAAACGTACCAAGTTGTTCGACGCGGTGCGTCACGTGCAAACGCAGCAATCACGGCCCTCAAACTTGCGGTTAGAGTTTAAATATCGCATGAGATAAGCCCGTATCTCCGTAGAGAACGAAGATAAAATCAAGTTCAATATTGCACTCACGAATATGAAGCAATTATAGTTTCTTGGAATTTTCATTTTTCCCACCCCCTTGCCGATGATTGCACATTTGCCCAACGACTACAGAGACGTACAACTTTGCTCGTAGATTTCTAATTCCCGGTAAAGGAAGCGGAAGGATCAGGTTGTTTACAATGGACAAAACGAGACATCGTTTTCTTGGTGCATGCGAAAAATTCCTTCTAACATTGGCAACGGTGATTAACGACACCTGCTGTTGGACTTACAGTAGGGGAACAGCATGGCTGGTTGTTCACAAGGACGCACACGTGCAGGCACGTGTAAGTCTGAAAAAAATATTGATTGACAAACAGGAGCACGGTGTGTAATTATTTTATTACGGCTGCCTGAAACTTGACCGAAAATGATAGCGGCAGGTTAAACCTTCCGCTATTCACGGTCCTACGGAACGAGTGATCGAAACAAAGATCCTTGCTGATAGAACAAGGATTTCATTGTCATGCGAGAACACAAAGCTTCGGGATAATTTTCCCTTTTGAGAACAGTTAGGCAGGATAATCCTTAATTGCACGTCATTGCTCAGAAAATCTAGAACAAAGACTAAAGAACCTAGGTTACAAGTACGATCTATGCTCTAACGCGGTGTTTCCCAACGCCCACGCCCCACAGGGTGGCAATTTGATTATTAAGGGTGGCAATTCGAAAATGAACCCGTTCAGAGTTCAAGTTAACCGTGTGGCGACTCTCGATCGCTACTTTGCATCAAGCATCAATTAATAAATAATTACTAATAATTAAAATAATATAGAAAAGTCTTTCGTTAAAATTATTTCGTATTTGAATTTCAGTTCAAAATTTACTTACTGTGTTTCCTCAACAATTTCCTAGTGAATTCTTCCTAAAACCTATCATTTAAGTTTCTTCGCTGAACAATTCGATTTTTGAATATTAAAAATTACATATACGTTACATAGGGGCAGAAGAATTTTAGAAAGGCATAGGTGGGGCATGGCACAAAAAGGGTTGGCAAACACTGCTCTAACGTCTAGGTCTAACAAACCTTGACTATTTCCAAATAATTCATCAGTTCTAGATTTACGTTCTAAACTATCGACATGCATATAACGATTATCAAAAAAGATTCTAAGGAGAATCACTCGTTTCAACGTATTAGAGAGAAGTTAGAAGGAACACTGTCGGATTCATACCTTCACGTACTTCCAGTGCTGCGGTAAGCATGAAAAAAAATGATCGAAAGTGAAGAACGTAATTATGAATGTTCATCTGACAATAGGGTCTTATGCAATTGCCAGATATCTGGGCGGAACAATCGATGCGTTGTCACGAGCGAAACGAATATACCGCTGTCTGTCACGCTCGCTGCGAACCGCGTCGTGCTTTCAACTATTCTCGGGCGAGAGTAAAACGAAAGTAAAACGAGCGTATATACGAGAATCACGGTGTGTTTTTGCAGCTTCGCTCGGGACAACGACCGACGATCAGAGATTGAAATTGGGTAAACATGAAAAACGCGTATCGGTCGATGGGCGCGCGGTTCGATCGTGCGTAAAACGAAAGTGATTTACCTATAAACGAACGATCGAATGAAATATATACCGGGTGTAACGTATGGATTTAGTCTGTCCATTGGGAAATTCTTGTTGAAGGTACGAAGAGGAATCACAGAATGTTCATTATTCAACGGATTGGAATTCATGAACGTCTGGGGTGTTACTTGAGCGGACCATTTCCTGCCACCAAATGGTTACGCAATGGTCTACGATGCGTCATGAACAAGCATGCACTCGGTGTTGAACGATTGCCACGTTCCTATGCAACATCTCCAGACCGGCTCCTCTGACCTAACCAACTGACTAACTGACTGACTGACTTCAACGATTGCCTACCTGCCTACCTGACTCTGCCTACTTACCCACCTACTTATCGAGTCAAGAGGTGGTAAATCGGGAACGTCGTTCGCAGGAGAACGTTTCCGAATAAGGTCAGAGTTACCAGAGGAAAGGTGGGCGCTTGGAATCGAGCAGGTAGGTAGCCAAGAGAACCAGTACCGAGCAAACACGCAGTACCGTTCGCCGTATTACCCTGCAATCCATTACCAACACCAAGTCGATCGATTCAAACTGGCTATCCTCGTCAACGTGTATCTCAACAACCTGGACTGTGTTCATACATGTGTGCGAGTGGATTTGTACACGGTGAAGAAGAAACTGCACCTCGAAGAGGGTGCTTTAGATTGAATCAGAGAATCGGGGGCGAAACCCCTCCTCTATTCATTCTTGGATTCGGTTCGTTTGACATGGGACAATTTTAAAAGTGGAGAAATTGTGAGTAAGTGCTCCCCGTCGAGTTCTATTGATATTAACTGCGACTTGATTCGTTCGAGCCTATCCAGGAACTATCGCGATCGAGCTGCACCTGTTACTACGGACTCGAACGTGTTAATTTCTATCGCTTTGCAATAAACCGTACTGCCTTTGGCATTCTCAGTTCGCGGTGCAGGTAGACCACAGCTGAATGGTATTGCTTTCCATAGGCGCCGTTCCATTTGGAATGGAAACCGGGCTCGAAGAGGGCAGCTAATATAGGAAGAAAATAAGAGGCTCGATAACCCTTGATATGCTAGCCGAGTTATACTGGCCGCTTACGAACACCTTCAACCTTGCATCCTATCTTCTCCTTTCTTCTTCGACTGCTGACTTTGCATGCGGCCAGAACGTAACGCGAAAGCAACGCGTGGAATGTATCTCAGCTCGATTTATCATTGAACGTGTGCTTCTTCTCTTTCTCTCTTCCTCTCCCTCTCTCTCGAGAGACAGAATAATCATAATTTTTTTGAATACTTTTCCTTTTTGAATACAGAATAAGGAGCAACGCGTCATCGGCGTTTCGCGAGGCTGAGGATCAAGAGAGTCAGCGGCGAGATCAAGGCTAACGTGTCTCGAGTAACAAGAATTGTTCGCGGTCGCGTGCCATGTCGTCGTCGTCGTCGGCGTCGGCGTCGTTGGGACATGGTCGACGACGACGACCGACGTTGGTTTGCGGTCACCATGGTCTTGGGGGCCATTAACACGTTCCCCGCAACCTCCGAGGGTTTCGTCATCGGCGTCAGAATCGGTACTGGCATCGCTACTGGCATCTCTCTGACGAGCAATCGACGTTGGAATAGATGCTGGCATCTCCGACGTCGGCGTATTTCTTTTTTTTTTTTTTTTCCTTCGTCACGTGTTCGCTCGAGAATGCGTAATACGCAGAACACAGTGGCGGTGTTTGTTCGAGCGAACACGTCGGCCACGGTAGCTCGGTACTTTGAATCTTATTAATCAAATCACGTTGCAAAAAACATTCCTTCCCTCTCCGAGTTCCATGAAAGAGGAAACTTCTGTCGGAAGGAACGCGAGCAAGATCTTGATTGACGCAACCAGGTGATCATCAACGTCATAACTGATAATTATAGACAATACAATTTTCTGCGTGTTGCAACGAGACTCGTAAAGCGTACTATAGAATAATCAATGAAAAGATCTCCCCGTAGGCTACTTATTTTCTAGAACAGAGGAAGTAAGGAAAATATTTTGTGGAATATCGAAAGTCATCGACGTCGAATGATTTTCTCGATTTCACCCACTCGATTTCTACCATACGTTACCATCTATAGCCATCGCGTGAAATACCCTCCTGGAAGGGATTATGCTCGACCCACGCGTACAGCCTACATGGACAGACCAGGAGCAGAAACGTCCCCTATCGTTTACGTATGTGGTTACGAAACACAGCTGGTTGTCACGGCGTTGCGCCTCGCTGGCTCTCCTCGTATCCTTACCTATCAGGTGTTACGATACCTCTTTCGCCTTCGACTCCACCAGCCCGTGGCCTCCTCCTACTTGCTAAGGTCGCTCTAAAATTAGGATCGGTTCGATAGTTTGAAGGAAGGGCCTGAGACTAGCCTTCGAGGTGTATCACCCATCGTATTAATTCGCGGAACGCTCTTTTTGTAATCCTTCGATCGTTATGATAGTCGCGTTAGAATCGATAACGAGAAACGTACAACGCACGCCACAGGCGATTCATATAGCTTACATGGTAAATTGAGTACACGCCCATCGACCGAGCACAACGTTGAAAACAGTTTCTACGATTCCAGGAGGTTACCTTACCTTTTTCAGATGCTTGTTCACCCATTTGGTAAATGTTTTCTTTTGGATCGCGTCTCGTTCGTCTGCAATCACAAAGACAAGGATTTCGTTAGAGACTCGGTGATTTCGATCGGCAGGCAACGATGGTGTACATTCTTGATTCTCACGACCCGGTCTAATTAAATCGTTCGTTTGCATTTGCAGTTGCGAACCTACACAAACACAGGCGTCAAACGAGTCGAAGCAATCCAGATAGACGGACAGGCAGACGGACAGGTAGGTGGTTGGATAGATAGGTAAAAGTAAGTAGGCAGGTAGGTAAATGGGTGGTGGATGGGTGGGCAGTCAGGTAGGAAACGAAAACAGTCAATCGTGCAGGTACACAAGCAAACGTGCCCTAAAATCTTTGCCGAGTTAGGTGAACGCGAAAGCAATGGCCATTTTCCAGTAACAAATTGATATTAATTTAAAAACAAAAAATTGATTCATTAACATTTGATTGTATGTAAAATAAAAATGGCATAAGAATACCAGCTTATAGAAAATGGCCACAACTTAGCATATACCTGACAGAAGGAATTCTAATTCCCAACCTGTGCCTTTGTTTCTCAACCTGTGTCCTAAACAGCTGATCCGTAATAAAGCAAAAGCAATTGTTCTATTCGTAGCCACGGCAAGTGCCATTTCGTGTAATCCGACTTAGAAAGCTTACCAAGTTCGCGTAACAATGTCCAAGATTCTTAAAAACCGAGGGCATTGAGAAGAAAAAGCTTACCAAGAAATACCAATTGCCTGTTGGACAGTATTGTACGATGTAACAAGTTCGACGACACCGAGTCGAAGTTAATCAAGCGGGAGGCAGTCCGTGCTCCCGAGCAATTAATTACCATCGATTATTTGATTCTATCTAGCGAAGCTCTCGTTAAGAAACAGTTATCGTCGACCGACTTCGAAACTAAGACGATAAATTAACCCTTCTACTGGGTCGTTCCAAGTCTCAAATGTATCATTCTAACGAGATAGATTTAAGAGAAATTTAAACAGATTCAGTAAATTCCCCGACGTAGCGTCAACCTTTGAAGATAAGAAAGAGAAACCTATTTGTACAGTTTCATAATGACCCTTTTGCGCAGTCTGTTTAATGAACCGAATCTAAAGCCGAAACGACTCGATTTTGACCGAGAATTAAAATTATGAAAAATTTCGAACGAAAGTCTAAATGGTTTAACCTTTGGACAAATGAAAAGGAAACAATGCCTGAAATAAAATTGATATTATCCTTATCTTACGTTCGTGTTCCAGCACTAAAATATCGATTAGCTAAGATTGCCACGTAATCGTTAAAAATAAAAGACGCATTTATTCTAATTGACGTGACAAGGCATTATCTGGTAATCGGCTTAATCGAAGTTCGTCAGCCGAGACGGAGTTTCCGATGTAATCGAGAACGACACCTCGGAAGAGTGGCATACCGAAACTCAATGGAGATAAATTGGGACAACGAGGAGAACACATTGGTCCCCCTCGGGGCATATGGGATTTTCGGAGCACGCGTGATAACAGGGACAAACGAACGCTTGTCCCTGAACATCACTATGGAAAAGGAATGCGTTTTTCATGACGATGATACAGAAATCAGGAAGTTACGTGCTCGTCGCGCGAATAAACGATCGTATTATTTTTAATAAGCATATTTGGCCCGGATATTTATAAATTCTTCTCGAAGAGATCTTGAAATTCTTTCGTAAGCAAGATGCTATCTATGCTACGTGCTTGTGCGTAAAAAACCCGTTTCTAAAAATGATTTTACCGTAAACAAACTAAGAAGGCAAAGCCTTGATCGTCTTATTTTTGTGACGAAGATCGACGCGATATTAGACACACAAAGACACTTCAAAAAAAAAGAAAAAGTTAGTTAATGTTGAGGGGGCATATACACCAAGCAATTTCAAAATTTTTATTTCTAGGTGGTATATGCTCCCTTAAGGAGATAAAAAAACCAAAAAAGAAAAAAAATTCAAACGCGAAGCGTGTCAAAAAATCTCTCGTATCAAGCAGATTTATCCAATTCTTTGGATTATAATCCCGCCGCGAAGACTCCACCTATTTTACCCCAGCTATTTCCGAGGCTACTTCCGCGAAACATTCGGGTCAAACGGCAAAAGGTAAACGACCTCAAAATGAAAAAATAAAAAAAGATACTTCCGTTCGCGATACTACACCACGATGATACGAACTCTAGTTTTCGCGCTGCGTGCAATTCCCCAGTTCCTTTTTCACTGGTTCGTCGAGCGAACAAGAGAAAAGTCACCAGAGAATTGCACTCAAAGTGCCCTTTGTAACCAGATCGTTTCATAAAAAATTGTTACGCGAGTGATACACGGCGAAAGTTTGAAATTACAAAATGCCCAAGCATAACGATCCATCTGTATCACTTGCGTAACATCCCCGATCAATTTTCCAACGATAAAGGGCAAAAAGGATGAAGCCACAAAGCGAATTCGACGAACAGAAAGAAAAAGAGAAAAAAACGAGGGAATTGAAATAAAAATCACGAAGGGGAATAGGAGGGTGAGGGGTAAAAAGGTATTGGAACAGGTCCAGCCATCGGCATGCCAACTCTTCACCTACCGTGCGCCTCGATGAACATCGCCCAACAACCCCAGAAAGCCTGAGAGTTGACCGAACGATGTTCCATAGCCCCGTCCACCCGCCAATTTTCTTCACCTTCCATCATCCACGAAAATCCGTTTGCTTTCTGACCTTTGAACTTGGATAAAGATTCCTCGTAGCCGTGCTGGGATCTCTGTTCACGGTGATGCTCCGCCACAGTATCGGCCGGATCGAAACCGAGCCTCTCCTTGTAATAAGCCTGAGTGGACATGTCGTTAGCCGATTAAATCCTCCTTTAAATTCTCACGAAACCAGCCATAATCGAGGCCTTTTTCTTTCCTATACTTCCGTTTCAAACGCACTTCTACTAATATCGTTTCTTACACTCACGCACTGTTTTTCTTTTTCTCTCTTCGACACCGACTTTTAACTGAACACACTTATCAGTTTCGCGCGGTGAACACTATCATCGATAATAATTAATCTTAACGAAATCAATGTAATATATTTTATTTATCTTAACGTATATATGGCACTTCGAGTTGACGGAAGACCCAATTGAATTCACTCTTTACTCCCCTGTTGCCCGAATTATTTGACTTTTTTATTTGACGTTGACACACCGGTCGCGTATCACTGTCGACAGAGAAATATATCGTACGATAGAGCGAAGGGATTGGAAACGAAGGAACCACGCGACAGGGGGTTGCATCGGCGACACTCGGTACGACACACAATGCGAAGAGGAGAAGAGAGGAACGGCTAATTTCGTTCCACCCGTTTGTCCGTTCAGGCCGTTCGCCCGCTCTCCAGACGAACGAACCTTAACGAATCAACGACCGAATTTATCACGGCACGTCGCAGACGTAACCACTCAACGTTTCTTCATGCCAAAGTGGCCTACGGTGGAAAACGCACTGAGAATCGTACACGGGGTAATCGGTCTTTTCGCTGACGCCCTAGTTCATCGTTCGCCGTGAGAAACGGAGAAAGATAGAAAGAGAGTTTAACTATATCCACCAGCGGACAGCGTGGATAAATAGAAGAGTACGAGGTAATTTTCGCTACTCCGGTTTGAACTTTCACGCGGCCAATTAAACCGGACGACGATTCTATTACGGTCGAACGATGAAAAAGCTGGTTATGTTACGTTACGAATGTTATAATCCAGACTGGTGGAGAGTGTATACGATAACGAAACGACTGGGACAACGAACGGTGGAAGAGTGGATCGTGAGTAGCGGCGAGCTCGCGAGCGAATCAGCGATTGTACTAACGAATGAACGAGGCCGAGAGAGCGAGCGAGCGAGCGAACCAACGATCTACCAAACTGACGGTTGGTGACTGAGACACGGGTGCCACCCAGGGAAACCCAAGACCATCGGGATCTCCGCATATGGTAATGGAAGCAATGGCATGTGGGTGTCGTCTTCTGGATCGGAGCGAAAAGCAGTAAAGCCAATTGCAACACGCCACCGATTGGCTGCCCCTTATTAGTAAGGGAAGGACCGCGACTGTCCAACTCAAATTTTAACGAGCTTTTGTAAGACGATAACGTACGCGTTTCTAGCGATTCGCATTCCTAGGTGCACACCGATACATCTCTCTCCTCTCTTCTCAAACTTTCCCCCATGAAAGTGAAACGTTCGAATGCATTCTGCATTTAAGAAAACGTCAAAGTCGTTACCAGCACGTGGTTCTAACACATCCCTCGCATCCCGTAGCTCGCGACTCGACTCACGATCAAAACTGGACGGACTCGACCCCGACTCGACTCGACTCGACTCGAGTCTGGCCGGATCTCCGCGGGACCGACGGAATTAGATGCGAATAGAAAATAGAGTAACGCGTGTCACGCGCCACGCGGTGTTAGGCGAACTCCTAACCGTGTCTGTCGCATTGGATAGACGACGTATAGAAAGTTCGAGAGAAAGTAACCCCCCTTATAACGTGTTACGCGCGAACAGAGTCACATCTGAAATTTTATTAGAACCTCGAAAGAGGGGAAACGGAGCCAGCTACTCTTCGTTCACGATTATCTCTTGAAAGTACGATATTCCGGGAACTCGAGGGACGCGTTTCGCTCCGAGTATTTTCTACTTCAAGTAGAGATTACCATGATATCGTTGACAAGATCTTTCGATACTGAAACGATAAAATTACGATTAGATAGTTCTAACGGCATTATCTTCTCAGTGAGAAGATAAAATTAGAAGCACGTTGGTGCTTTGCTTGAGGTGAAATTAAATTGAAATCGTCACCGTTTCAAAGTGCCGACGTCGAAGTGGTAATTAGACCGGTAGCCACGTAAGTATCCGGCGTTAACGCATCAGCGATGACAACATCTCGACAAGTAACGCGTGAAGGAGAGAAACATTATCCGTGAAAGACGAACGAAACGCGAAACGATCGATGACATCACGACTGATCGAAACGCGACGTGTTTTTTTTTTTTCATCTCCTATCCACCCACCCATCCACCCTTCTATAACCTACCAACTTTCGATTTACCATTGCGGTGCGAGAATCGATACGCTCGACACAACCTTCTAAACGCGTCGCGCAAAAGAAAGAGGTAGCGAAGGGGATCGTTTGCGAACGATCCTCTCGTGTCTAAGCCTCGAGAGGAGGAAAGCGACGAAGAAGGAAGAGAAAAGGAAGCGCGTGTACCCGCATCGGATCGGTATATAACGCGAGCTGCAAGAGAGGCCGGCTAGGCGGCATTCTTGCGGCAACAGCGTAGCAGTATAACGGGTCCATAGTCGGCTCTCGGAGGACTCCTCTCGAGAGGGCTCTTTCCAAGCTAAGAAGACTCTCTCCGCACTCTCGTATACCTCGCTCAGCCTTGAGACGCACGCGGCAAAGCGTGCGAGCCACGCTGCCACCAGATACGAGACTTCTTGTCTATTTTCATAAGGCCCTCCTCCTGCCGATCGACTAACAAATTTGTCAATTAACCCTTTGCACTCGTATTTATATTTGAGAAGGCTACCAATCAACTCGGAATTTGTTTTCATACTCGATCGAAATGAAAACATTTTTATGGGAATATATTACAATTTAACTTGCCGGTTTAGTAGAAACAATTAGAAAGATACATATGTATAATAATAAAATGTAGGATGGCGACTATATGGCGACATACCAGTGGAAAGGGTTAATGTATGAAGGAAATTTGGACACCAAATACGATCGACTAACAAATTTGTCAATTAACCCTTTGCACTCGTATTTATATTTAAGAAGGCTACCGATCAAGTCGGAATTTGTTTTCATACTCGATCGAAATGAAAACATTTTTATGGGAATATATTACAATTTAACTTTCCCGGTTTAGTAGAAAAAATTAGAAAATGTAGGATGGCGACTATATGGCGACATACGAGTGGAAAGGGTTAATATATGAAGGAAATTTGGAATTGTTCGTTAGAAAAGTTGCAAAAGGAAAGTAACTCCTCCGCGTGTTTCTTCTTCTTAGTTTCTCCAACGGAAACCCCACCTATCTTGACATCTCGCGTAACACCGTATCCCGGGGACAAGCGACAAAAGCGTTCCACATCCATCGATCCTACCTCGGTGACAAGGCAAAAGCATCTTTCTTACCTCGCTTGTCCCTGTTAACGACACCGTGCGTGTTTGCTCCCCTCCATCCCCCTAACGTCCTACTTATGAACAACACTCTCGCGACACGTTCACGCTCAACTCTTTCGCATCATACCGGTCGACCTACAGACGGATAACGTAACGAATCACCATCCTACCGATCCATCCTAACGTAACCCAACGTTCTTCTGTTCCTATGAAACAAGGTAACTCTAGCTGGCTAATATCAATTACGAATCGACCTTTCTCGTCAAGGTAGCAAGCGCAGTCGCGTTTCGCTGTTATACACGATTCATCTTAACCTCGAACTTGATACCGCGAATCGAGGCGCGAGATCTCGGAAACGGGCCATGGAATTTCAAGATCCGCGTTCGAAAAGGATACGATGGTGTATTCGCGGATTGATAGCGACCTCGGGGATTCCGATGTGAATGCGGCATAATCGAAAGCCTTGAGGATGACCTTTGCCGAATTCGTTCGGGATCCGCTCGTAAATTCGACGATTTTTGGTCGGCCTTTTCGACCGATACAAAGAACTGGTCGAAACTGCTCGTTAAGCGGACCGTTTCGACTAATAGAACCTCCTCCTACTTCATCGCGGGTTCTCTATAAACTCTTCGTTCCTGTTTCGCGACGCAAACTGAAACTGGTTTTCGAGATGCTAAACGGCGTCGACGATCACCGGTCCCTCGTGAAATAAAACATTCGACGTGATTTTGCAAGCAAAACCAGACGTCGGGATATGTACATTCAAATACGACGATTTCTCGAATTGAAAATGTTTCTTTGCTTTTTTTACGGAAATAGTTTCGTGGAAGATGAGAATCTTTCGACGATCCCGTAATCGTTGCGACACCTCGTCGAATCGATCGAAAACAGCGAAAAAATAAAAACTGGTGTCCTGATTGCATGGGACTCGGATGACGACGGTTGACTCTCGGCTCGACGCGGACCGCTTCGACGATAAAGCTTACTTGCACT